CCCCTCCCTATCGAAGCGGTCTCGAGGGTGAGGAGAGTGAGTGGAGAGTGAGGGGAGTGAGAAGAGTGAGGAGAGTGCGGAGGAGTGCGGAGTGAGGAGAGTGAGGAGGGTGAGGAAGGTGATGAGAGTGAAGAGGGTGAGGAGGGTGAGTGCGGAGTGTGGGCTTGTCGCTGAAGATGATGGCGGTGAACCATTTTCAGGCAGGCAGAAGGGGAGCATCAACCTGTGAAGATCTTTCACTAGAAGTGACAATCTTCTGCCGCAGCAATGGTGCTGTTTCTCACAAGTTTTCTAGGAGGTCTTATTAGAGCTTGGCATGAGTGTATCGACGGTATACGATGACGTGAAAGCCAGCGTTTTTGAGGAGGAGGAGGAGAAACCGGAAGAGGCGCCTGTTTCGACAGAAGCAGGGTGCGACAATGGGTCCGACGAGGCCGACACCGTTACTGGCGAAGGGGATGCCGATGACGCCGAGTCGAATGCTATTCGAAACAGTGAGACTCGTGACCGACCTCCCGCGAAGGGCGAAGCCCGCAGGAAGAAACGCCGACAGAAAGGATGCAGTCGTGAGGAGACATTGGTGGCGCTGCGGCATCAAATAGAGTACTATTTCAGTGATGGGAACCTGGCAGTTGACACTTTCTTTCACAAGCACATGTCTGAACACCCAGAAGGTTGGATTGCTGCTGCACTGGTGCTAAACTGCAACCGCGTGAAGAAACTAGCAGTCTCGGACGAAGCAGATATTGAAGCAGCGCTGGCGGAGTCAGAGCTGGAGACGAGGTGGTTGCACGGTGCGGATGGGCAGACGTTACAACTGCGTCGGGAGAACGGTCGGAAATTGCCAGACTTGCGTGCTGCAGGCTGGCTTGCCACAAAAATCGAACAGCGCCGACAGTGCGCTGAGGCTCAGTCGCAAGCTTTCGGGGACGAGGACAAGGTGACTCAAGCTCAAGCTCCCAAAGTCGGAGATTCTGTGCGGCTTGTCACCGGGGAGAGCGCTGGACAGAGCGGTCAAGTTTTATCAGTTGACGAGGGCGAGTTCACTGTCTTGGTCGGTGGCACGGATGTTGTGGTGGTCTCGTCGAGTGAGCTAGAGGTGCATGCGCCTGCATGAATGCGCAAAACAGATTCGTGATTGTCGTTTCCGGGAAACTCTTTGCTACAGATCCCTGGCCATGTCGACCCTGCGCCTGGCAAGGAATGCTGATGTCTCAAGGCCAGAGAATACCGTGGTGCTCTCGAGGCCAAGGACTCGTCATGTCGTTTCATTGACTTTCAAAGCACCGAGAATGCGAAGCTGTGCGAAGCTCGGAGGCAGCCTTTCGAGCCGATCACCAGCAGCTTACAGGCAATGGGGAGTTAAGAGCACAACTGCACGCATCGGACACCTTGGAGAGCCAAGAGACGAATGAGTACCGTAAGGGTCGACTTGTCGTTCTTTCTCATGGGGCTTTGGAAGGCGTTGGTGGTGGAAGGATTCACGTTTCAAACAAATCCCAGGCCCGTGAACCGAAGTCAAGTCAGCCTGCTTTGTCGGCAAATCTATGCACCCGACACGCTCTTGTTTCCGCTAGTTTTCAATGGTGTCCAGATATACTGAACTCATGCAAATCGCTGCAAGCTTCAAGGTAGCCTCTGTACGCTCAAAATGCACTCCTCGTGCAGATAAGTTTGTTGAGTGAGTGCTCCTTTTCTGTGCTTCATTGTGCTTCGGTTCATCTGCTCTGGTTTGCACTGGGCTCTGGGCGCAGCGTGCCATCGGAAATGCAACCATGCAATCGAGGCATGCAGCGCCAGACTCTTGCGGCCGGGATCTCAAACGCTGGTGCACTGGGGCCTTGCAGGGCCGACATGTAGCCTCCGGGTCACCTTGCTAGGCTTGTTTGCAGTCCTGGCGAATGTGGGCAATTACTTCTTGCAGCGGAGGATGGGCTGCAAATATTTTCAATGCCTGGGGATGCTTGCAGTCTGGTTGTGCAGTGCTGTTGAGGCTGCTGGCTGGCAGCGGAGCCAGCCTGCAAGTCCAAGAGAGAGCAAATGGCCCAGTCGCTTGTGCCGAGTTTGCTTTGCCATGTGACGTTTCCTGCTGTAGCCACAACGATACGATAGAATCCGGCGCTTTACCTTTGTGTACAACGGAGTAGACGTGCATGCGCAGGTGCAACCATTTCGGCCAGCGACTTGCTAGTTGAACAAATGATGCAACGCCTGAGGCCAGTTTTTGTCACAGTTGCTCCTCCATGCAGTACATTGTAGTCTTGCTGTACATGCACGGAGAGGCCATGGGTTCCAGAGGACCATTCCCGCATCTGCGTTTACGAGGTATGGGCCTTTGAGCTTGAGTCTGCAGGAATGCTTGGGCAACCAATTCTGGGGCATGGATGGACTCTTACATTTTGGCTTCGCCACATCACGCGATGAGAGTAACATTTCAAACTACTGTGAGGCGAGACAGTGGACCTTTGTAAAACTTCAGCTCTGGACTTATAGTTTCACAGCGTCCCCGAACCAAGTGCCGTCACATCTCGGTGCAAAACTGAGGCCTGGTCAGTCCATTTGCATCAGCAACGAGGCTCGTGATTGCAGGTTCTTTCTAAAGCACTCTCTAGTGCTGTCTCGGTGCCAGGGTCATACAGCGCATCCGATGTCAAACACCATGCTGCAGTCCCAGCTCGTCATCGCGGCCCCTTTCCACGTATTTCTCCACATGTTGCTCTGCTGGTGAATCCAGTATCCGAGGCTGTCGACATCCGCCTGTTCCCAAGGTCAGGGGAGTGAATGAAAGGCTCAGTTTGACGGTTCTGTTTTGGCAAGCCAAGGTGCTCATTCCGTTGAATTCGGCAGGAGCACAAGTCGATTTCAAGCTTGCCCGCAATAACCAGGCAGCGAGAGCAACATGAAGAGTGCTGCCTGTGCACTTGATGGCCGCAACGGTTAACAGTTTGGCATGCACTTACCAGCTTCTCTGGTTTTGTCACATGGATACAGCGTCCGTGGCTTTCGCTTTGCTGGTTCTCGGAGCCCTCTGACTCTAGCTGCTGCCCTCTGAAACAATGTTCAGTGCATCGTCTCGCACCTGTCGTGTGCCTTGCCCTCCGATGGAACTTCCACGTTTCGGTTCTCATGCCCTCGTAAAGGGTTGCCATCCTCACGCCTCGTCGTTTTTTCGTGTCCTTCGCTTTGCTGTGAATCGCCATCCCGGGATCCGGACTAGACCTCTGCCTCTAACGGGAGTTGCGCTCGGGCCTCAGAAGTGGAAACAGTCGCAGGTATCCGGCATGCAGGGTAAGCATCCTCGTTGCATGTGTCCCGAGCAAGTTTCTGACCGATAAACTTCGTACTCCAATGTCCAGCAGGTTGACTGTGTCTCACCTGCAGCTGTGGTGAAATGGCACTCGTCTTCGATCAATTCGTGTGTGGGCTTCGTCAGGTTTGCGTCTCGGTTCGACGACCAAAGAATGTGCAGGTGCCCGGCGAGCCTTGCGCTGTGGAGCAGGGGTCAGCCATTCTCCACATGCATCCACAGCATTTGATGGAGGCACGACCTTTCAGCGTGTGAGACCTTGTGTGTCGATGCGAGCTGAGAGGTCTGCACGCCAAGCCGCATCTTGCATGTGTTATGGCTGCAGCTGCGGTACGGAATCGAGTCTTGATGGCACTGCTCAAAAGGGGTGTTGGCGCGGCTGTGCCCGCCGAAGCTCCCTCGACGCGCACGACGTGCCCGTGTGTGTGTGTGTGTGTGCCCAGGGTCTTGCGAAGCCAGCTGGCGGCACATCATCTTACCGTTGAAAACGCCTCACTCTGGTGCTGTTTCGATGCAGCGGGGTCGGACCCAAACCACATACTCATGGAGTGGCAATGTGTGTGATTGTTCTGGCTGACCTGAAATGTGGCCGGATCACAGTGACACGTGCCCGAGCCCGCGATAGTTTGATCCATATTGAAACTTCCCTTTACCTGCAGTGGTGGAGTACAAAGGATGACTTTTCCTTGTATCTGAGTTACCAGAAGGATGCCGAAACATGGTAGTCGCTTTCCATCCTTCATGATGATAACTTAAACTTAAACCAGGTGTCACACCCCCAACCCTCAGCCTCGGCACTTCGGTTGCAGCTACCCTTCAACGTGTTACCCTTGCATGCTGTCCTGGCATTGCACGAAGCCAGTGGCAGCATTTTGCCATTCCCGTGGTTTGACAGCAGCCAGGACCCTAGCTTCATCATGTTGTATAGCACGACATAAATGTCGCTCTGGGCACTGCATGGGTTTGTTCCCTTGCTTATATTATATGGCCACGACTGGATCCCGAGCGGATGGTTGGAAGGCCGAACGAGCTGCAGGTAGAATGTAGTCTAAGTCGGCCACTATCTGTAGCAGACGCAATGACCCTTGCCATGCCTAAGCAAGTGTTGCTACTCCCGAGTTGCACGAGGGAGAACGCGAGTTTGCTCTGTTTGTATCATGCAGGGGCACACAGCACTTAGGACTTTTTGTGCGCAATGAAGCTGTGGGCACAAGGGGGAAGGGGAAGCAGACGCTTTTCCGTGCACCTGCATCGTGGAGTACCTGGTGCATGTTGATGCAGCTGGTACCAACCAAGAGGACTGGACCTTATCCTCCAGCCCAGGGGCCAGGACCCAAGCCCGAACGACGATGCGAATTTATATACAGGGCCAGGACCACGACCCAAGACGATGCCACGCCGAGATCGCCTACAACATCTTCAAGATGCTGGAGATAAGTCAGAACACCCCTCTCTGTGAGTGAGTGTGTGTGCGTCTGTGTGTGTGTGTGTGTCTGCGTGTGCGCAAGCGTTTGCATATAGCGCAATTTTCATGCAGGGGCCCAGAAGCGGTGTGGGGGTGTGCCGCGTGTGTGCTTGGGGTCTTACGAAGCCAGCTGGGACATCATGGGACATCATCTCATCGCTCATTCTGGTGCTGTAGCATTCCTTCGGGCTGGTGAGGCAGGGTCGGAGCCACACGCAGTCACCCATGCTATGCAACACTTTGTGCGTGTAGGGCCCCTACTGGGAATCTGAGGAAGAAAAGTCCAGGCAGTTGGGCAGAAGCTTTCGCCTTACGTCGGGCATGGATATGATTCGCTTTGGTCATCAACCTGGCTCATGCTGGAGGTGTTCTGAGCAGTTCCTCACCAGGCCAGGTCACTCGCTGCTTTTGCTCAGTTCCTCTTTCAGCCCTCATCTTGACTTATCCAGGCACGCTCAGTGTCGTGTAGAGAAATGGGACATAGGGTTGACTCGACTCTGCTTACCTTTCTGTCAGGGTGCGCTCCTATCTTGGTGGCGCCGCCGCCTGCAGTGCCAGAGCCCCAGAAACCGTGTAGTGCAGGTCGTGGGAGCTCTCTACTCGCCTATTCTATTGTGCAGTCTGTGCAAGATTTCTCTGACCGGTATATCTCTAACTCGATTGCAAAGGCCAGTCCCGCCTGCGGTGCCTGTCGAGGTGAAAGGTTCGGTTACCTGAAGCCTTGACAGAAGCTGAGTAAAGCCAGGCTCCTTCTATCGATCCAGCCTGCGAACGCGTGACTTGTCATGGATGGCTGGTCGTTCTTGTCGCTCTGAGAATTCTGTAGGGTGCCGCCGTTGCAAGGTGGTTGGCAGCCCTCACGTTTGGGAGCCCGGCGACTAGCACGACGAGGTGGGTTCGCATAGTCAGACGGAGCCATACCTCATTTTCCAGCACGTAGCTAGAGGAATTGTGGGGCAAAGGTCTGGGAGTCAAATCCCTTGCAAGCGTGAGTATCCTGTAGCAGATGTCCGAGGTGCGGACAGACGAGAGCTGCTCGAGCCTGTTGCAGAAGGTGTTGCTGCATGAATCGGAAACGTAGTTTCCAACATCTGCAACAGGAGAGACGTCGCCATGGAGACAAAAAGAAAGGTCCTCTGTCCCTGTAGTAGCCACCGCGGTCTGCTGTTTCTCTCAAAACGCTTTCAAAGGGAAATTCTCCAGGAGGTCCTAGTCCAAACTTGCGGCCTCTTCGTGCTGGTTTGATGCAAGCTGCAAGCATCTGCAAGCGATTGTCTACTTCGCCGCTTCGGCTGGACAAGCTCGACGAGCGCTTCCTGTCCCCTGCCTACCTATGCGGTCAGCGCTTAAAGGCCACAGGGCAAGGGGTTGGAAGGGTTCCTTTGTGCTTGGTACCTCGCCATCGGGGTCTGTCTGCAGACAGCGAGGCAGGCGGCCATGCAGGAAGGCGATGAGATTTTTGAGGCCACATCTCAAGTCTGACAAGGAGAATGGGTCGGCATTCTCGTTGACAGCACAGGCCGCAATGGTTGCCGTAAAGCGGCACTTTGATGCAGAGGAGTTGGAGCCTGAGCATCCTAGCTTCCCAGCAGGTGTCCGCAGCTCCCGGACGACAGTCGAGAAGCATGCTGCCGTTGTCAACGTGGGTTTCGTCAGGTTTGAGCCTGCACTGAAGTTGATCACAAAGGCCAGAATGTGCAGGAGTCACGTGTGCCAAGCTGCGGAAGACGAGCTCTTGCCTGTGAACTGAAGGCTTATGAGATGAAGCCTAACGATCCACTGGTGGTTAGGACGGCCATGCCCATCGGTCCACATCGTTTAAGGTGCACTGTCGCAAGCTTTCAACCTCGTTCTTACTGTTGGCTTGCAAGCACCTTTGCGTCGAAAGTATTGACAACATAGCAGAAGTTAGTTCTGTCTGACACTACGGCATCTCATGGCAATTTCTACCAGACCAGAGGACAGGAGAACATGGTAACATGTCGATACAGCCATCAGTTTGTGACAGCATTCCTTTAGTTGACTGCCATTGTTTCCGGCAAAGCTGGCCTGCCATGGACAATGACCAGAAGCTTTGCGTGCCGGCGCGGCATGTACTTGCAATGCCCAGTTCTGCAGTTCCCATCGGGTTGACAGCATGGCCGTTTTGGAATTGAGTTGCTTGCATGCCCGTGCATCAGGCTTAGTAGCAGTCCTTTGGTTGTGTGATACCATGTGAATGCAAGCCTTCCGACTTTTCTACGTCGCAGTATTGGGGTTCAGACCCTATGCCACATTGACCCCCGACCACAAAGGACTGGCAATCAAACTTAAAAACGCGCAGAATCCTGCGATTCAGCAGCATAGCACGAGTAAGCTGGCTGTGTGAATCGAAAGCTCATGGTGCTGAGATAGCGGAGCTCGGTCTTTTTGCCGGAGCCTGGTGCATGATGGCAACCAGTGTCAAGTTTCAGGAGCTCCCGGACATGATGCTTCCGGCATCTTGTCAGGCATGCCTCTGCCTGCACTACTGCCCCTGGATGGAAGAATGCTGTTGCTCGCAGCCTCTTCCAATCAGTCTAGGTTTGCAGCGATCCAGAGAGACGCAGCTACAACCTCTCTTGGTCCAAAAGACGAAGGTTGCGAAGGCAGTTCGCAAAATGCTTTCACATGCATCAGCACATCCGGTGGCTCACAGGGCAGATTGTGCAAGTCAGCAGAGCATGTTGACTCGGTCCAGCAAGTGGGGCGAGCTTGAGACACTTCAAGCCAGGGTGCGAGCTGCAAGTCACCATTTGGGTGCAACCGATCCACAGATCAGGCGCACCAACAAGGTGGTGTCCAAGGCATCTTCTCTAAGGTATTATTGTATGAATTCATATGTGCAAATGTCAATGCAATGCTTGCCGCGGGTCATGGACGAGATGATCGGACGCCTCTACGACTTGCAAAAGCTGCCTCTGGGACTTGGCGTGTGGGAGGATCCTTTCCTTTCTTGGGCTCGTGAGGCAGAGGCTGTGTGGCGAGACGAGCAGCCCAGACTCGAACTGCTTGTGAGCTTGATAAGCAAGCCTTCACATTACTGCAACATGTGGGTTCAGACAGTGTTAAATGCTGATTCGAGATTCCTGCGGGCATTCAATAGAGCAATGACCAACGAGCTCTTGAAACTACCAGACGCAGGCTCTTTGTTGGCAATGTCTATTGGCGAAACACTCCATGAAGTTCATTTGCCCTCGGTGCGCGAAGAAATCCGCCGCCTCGCTTCAGCACTCGGAGTCCTGGAGAGCCAATGGCTCGAGCACGCCTTGCTTCGTCAAATCAAGGGTAGGACGAGCCTTGAGACTGCGGCTGGCCTTGGGGACATCCGAGCTCTGTGTGCGCTGATATCCGCACTTCTGAATGAAGTCGTCATCATTCAACCAAAGGCTTGTGCCCAACTTGCAGGAGCAGTCCGGCACACGGAAGCCATGTCGACTATGCCACAGACACTGCGAGCTGTGTGCGAGCTGTGCAAGCGAATGATGATTGGTGAAGAGGAGGCACGTTTCCTAAGCGTTGAGCTGCTGAGCAACGGGGGCCTGCGCATCGGACTTCAAACACTCTGGGGTCACCCCAGCGCTCAAAGTGCTGTCGATGCAATTGGTGCTGGAGCTGTGATCGAGAAGAAGATGCCTCTCGGTGAGCTACAACGGCTGCCTGGCTAATTCTTGAACCCGCTGGCTTTACGCTTCACATGGAGCGTTTGCTGCTCATGAACTCAGGTGGCAGTCAGGAGTGGACGCCCTGAAAGAGGCCGGTCGAGAGAACTCAAACTCGGCAGTCACCCCGCTCGTCCTCGTGTCGTCACCGGGAAGGTGGTAGCATTTCCAGATCGCTGCGAAAGAGCCTTGCATGCTTCCCAGCACTGCGCTCTGGTGCTTCGAGATGTTGCGGGCTGAGTGGCGAAGCATGATGCAGCGTCAAGAGGAGTCGAAAGGAGTCTCCGGAGAGTTTGCAGTCTGCTCAGGCCAGGAAGACGGCTTTGGAAGCAGTGAGCTCGGCAGCCACCACATCGAGCTTGCTGGACGACTTGTTGCCGAGGTACAGACTAAGCGAGCCCTGAGTGCATGCTGTGGCTGAGAAAGCGAGATTGCTTGTAGAGGCATGTTGCACAGCACCTCAAAGTGGCAGAGCTGGAGCAACAGTACACGGTGAAAAGCCCAGCCAAATGCTGTGAACCTCCAGTCCGGACGTGCGGCGACTGTTAGAGGAATCGACTCCTGACTGCCGAGGCCAAAATCAAAGTTGAAGCGGATCTGTCCAGAAAGGCCAGCAGTGAGCGAGACGGGAATCTTTCGCTGCTGAATACTTGGCTAAGCTTAGCTGGCATGTGGTTCGCTCTGAGTTTTAGTTTATGGTTTCGAGGCTTTGCGCGGCTCGGAGGAAGATGAGGAAGTTCTGGAAAAGTTCCAGCAGCAGATGAGGGAGGTCAGCTGCTGCTGTAGGTTGCAGCTGGTGTAGTGAGCGCCTCTCGGGCAGGAGAAGCAGCTGCTGAACGATGCCCGTTCTTATCTTAGCTCAAAGACCACCAGGATGTGATTGGAGATCAGCACGAAGCAAACTTTTCTGTGCCCGAGGCCAGGTCTTTCAAGATCTGCAGCAAAGGATGACATCCGCCCAATCTCATCTTGAAGAGGCAATGATAGTGAGGTAGTGGCCTGTGGCCCGAGGTAAAGACTTGCGGTTCTTTTAAGGCCGTTTTGCACCTCGTGAAGTCCGCGGTCCAGTGGAAGTCTGCCAGTCTGGAGGCTTTCAGCAAACGCAACAGTCATTACTCCATAGCCCTGCTCTTTGTAAGGCAGGCGAGAAGGACGCCGTGGCTACCACCACGACTGCTGCTTACCAGGACATTTGTCGTTCTGAGAAATGTTGCTGGCAACTGGAAAACTGGCAGGACTTGCTGCATGCCTCTCTGCGTCCGCTCAGAAGGGCCTCGGTTGGTCCCCGAGCCCACCATGTCGCCTGACGACGACACGTTTCATGTGATCTGTAAGACAACTGCAGGTCACCTAGGTCTAGGTTTCTTAGCTATGCTAGTAGTCGGCACCGGTGCTGCCTAAAGGCAGCTTGAACAGCTTGGCTAAGCCTGGCTCCAGAGTGCCGAAGTGTGACGCACACCGAACGTGAAAAGATGGGGCCCGAACGCTTGCGCCGGCTACTGTATAAGGGCTGACGCTTCAGGATGAGGGATTGCACCTCAAGTAAGGGGGACAATCTTCGCAAGCGCGATAGATAGCTGAGACAGCTGCAAGTTATTCCGATGTTCCGGCATTGAGGATTCAGCCTCTGGCGGGAGCTTCGCAGATCCCGGATGCCGCCTGCCTGCCAGGCTTCTGGACTCCCTCGGCGAGACTGCAGACCTGGAGGTTGCACGAGAGGCCAAGCATGGCAGAGGTTTTCGGAGACTTAGAAGATCTCAGAAGTCTTTTGCGAGGTGCTTGAAGCCAATGCATGGAACTTGGAGGTCTAGTGAGACTCGCTGCTTCACGGTTTCCCTTCCAGAGCGCCAGGCAGCGCTAAACGTCTTGACCTCGGAATGCCAAGCATCTTCCAGGCGATGTCGACGATTCTATCAAGAGTTTGAATGAATCTTGTGGCTATGCTCGCAGGCAAGATGATGCTGAAGGCTATCGTGCCCCAATGCGCACTGGGTACAGGTGCAGTCTGGGCCGTGCCCAAGTCAGACTGCTGCAGTCATTCGTTCCATGTGACAGGGACACGCTGCTGGGCAGGAAGCTCAGCGCAGCAAGTAATCCAGTCCGTGTGCACAGAGCCATTGTCTTCTGTCAAGTGACCCCTGTACGTTGGCAATTGGGACATACGTGCGATGAGCAGAGTGGTGATCAGGTGACCCCCAACTACCATGGTCCTTTGCATTCGACAGTTTGAGTGCAAGTCCAGGCATTGACTATCCTGTGTGTTGCTGTCGGACCTGGCCAGAGAGCTTCACAAGTGTCCGGCCAGGAGTTGAGACTTCGGGTGCTTCTAACTCCGTCGACGATTCGGAGATGCAGTTGGCTACTCACCTTTCGGTCACGATCCTGGTTCGACTCCTCGCCAGCCATGCCTCAGAAGGCGAGTGCTCACCGCTTCACGCCACGAGCAGCAGCAACTGGACGACTTGCAGGATCAGTCTGCCAGAGTTTTCGGCTGGGTGCTTGCGCACCGCTTTTTTGAAACTTGCAGGAGCAAAACGCGTTGGCCTCTGCCATCGAGGCTTCATGGACTCAGTTGGAGGAGGAGGCCCCGGCTCCGGCTCCGGCTCCGTTTCTTTGAGAGGCAATTCCTCTACACTCGTGTTCTGTGGGCCGCAGGAGGCAAAGAAGCATGCTCAAGCAAGCTTGCGCAGCGAAGAAGAGGGCCTCCTGGTCAAGGCCATTGAGGCGAAGGGCCCTTGCTGTGCTATGCTGGCTATGCTAGCTCCTCGGCTCTCTCGATTGTTTTCCTAGTAGCGACGCGTGGGACTGGGGTTGCTGTAGCACACTGGGCTGTAGATTTACAGGTCGGACTTGAGACGAGAGGGAGATTCGTACCTTTGCCTCTTGATCCCGCCCGCCCGGGGTGAGGTGGATTGATAGTAGCCCTTGCCGCAGCTGTCCTTTGCATGGTTCTGCCTCTAGCCAGGCCTCCTACAGAGAGCAGACTCGCGGGGACTCCAGCTCAGTATCCTGTTGTCAGAAAACAATACGAATGCAGATGAGAAGCAGATGTCATCAAGGATTCGAACTTCAGGGAGGAGTTGGAGAGAGCTTTGTCGCAGTCACAGACAAGTGCCCCTCGTAGAAGTTCCAGAGCTTTGGACAGCACTAAAAAATCACAGGTACCTCAGATCCACCTCCGAGGCCTAAATCAGGGCCCAGGCGCAGCAGGGGAGCCGACCCAACAAGGCACAGGCAGAACCGAGACACAGACTCACTGAAGGCGTCCGGAGCCCTTGCGCCAGCCTCAAGGCCCCGTCGGAAATTTGTTGCACACAGTGGGTTACCTTAAGTGGCATCTCTGAGTGCAACGTTGCATCGCCTATGCGTATGCACTGGCAAGCTGTGTACACCAGCATACACCCTCAGTGACTCAGGTTCATGTAGATGACGGAATCCCTTCTGCCTAAAAACAAGCCTCGCTTACAAGAAGACTTGGCACCGGCAGTCTGTAGCTTCGGGAATTTCTGCTTCGGTGGCATTGGCCTTCTGCAGTCTGCAGAGCCCGCAGACCCTGCAGTTCTGCGTTCGTTGTGGCCTTGTGGCATCTTCCCCCTGCAGTCCTGGCATCCCATGTAGCGGCCTGTATTTCCTGCAGTCCAAGTCCAGACCCCCCAGACTAGTGACTAGTACTCCTACCGGTTCTGGTGCCGCTCGTAGCATTGCTCGCCCCTAGTTCGTACATCACTAACACTAGTAACAGTAGTGGGGCTAGCAAGTTACCGTCGCACTGCGCACCAGACGCCGTTTGCAAAAACCTTGTCTTAACCACGGCAGTACTCTGGGGACCTTTTGGTTGTCCGGGCGACCAGTCTCTCAGTCTCAGATCTGTATTTCAGATGTGAACTTCTGGTGCATTACCTTTCTGGTGCAGCTTGCCATTCGAAAAGTGTCTGCAACTAGCTCACGACGCAAACTCTCTTCACCTCGATATTGTTTGACAGAGGGCGAGCTGTCTTAAAGGGAGCCCTCAGGCGTTACAGCAGTCTTGAGGCTCCAGCAAAAGCTCGCCAGCGGCCCGCCCAGCTGCCTCTGCCTGAGCATCGTGTCCTCCAGCTGTGAAAGCCGGCTTTGGGCTTTGGGCTTTGGCCCTGTGCAAGGCATTGAAAGGGAGCAGTTTGCTGAAGCGAGCCTTCCCGCTGCAACTGTTCATATCCCTTCTTGGTATCGGCGCTGCGCATTGTGGTTTGGTGCTTCGTGCCAAGGCTGGTGGAGCTATGGCATCCGCTTCAGGTACAAAGGAAGCGCACCTTTTAAGAAGCATCGGATGTGGCATCCTTGCTGGCCCCAGGCAAACTGAAACCGTTCCGGCAGAACTTTGGTGCAATGCAGGAGCTCACAGCCCTGCCACAGCGACCTGACAGATCTCGGGTTGGCCGAAAGCTCATCACCTGGGTCATGTCATGAACATGCATGACTCGCCCCCTTGCCAGGCAAAGGCGGCATCCGCTCTCAGCGAACAGCGGACTCTGGGGCCGCGGTTCTCAACAATTTGAAGAGCACTTCAAGTGTGGGTGCAGCGGCTGCGGTGGCTGCGTCTCCCGCTCCGGTGGCTTCGCCCCCGTCTGCTGCAAGCGGTGCAGCAGCTTGCATGGCCGGGGCTCTCGTTCCAGGATTTCTTCAGCTTGCTTGTCCCTCCAATCCAGAGTCAATGCCGAAGCTGCAGGAGAGACTAGTCAAATGAAGGATCGAATCGGCTCCATCCAGGTAGGACGGTAGGAGCATGTTTGGACTAACTGCTTTCCGTTTCGTGCACCAGACTCGATGCAAGGCCGCCAAGGCTGCCGAGAGTGACTTGACTTGAACTGCGGCCGGACATAGTCGGACTCTCTCACCGGTCTTCTCAAAAGAGCTGCAGGCCGACGTGAAGCACAAGTCTTTGCGGTGTCAAGCCCTGCGGAGGCGAATGTCTGCAATTGAAGTTGCCATAGCGCCCTGCTGATCGTTTACGACGGATTGGGATTCGACTCAGGCCGAGAGAACAGCTGCTGTTCAAGCCCAGTGCGGGCAGCCCAACATGATGCAGGCAGATGGCCAGTGTGGAAGAGTCCGGGCCTGGCAACGGAAAAGCTTCTGGCAGGCGTCGCGGGAGGTGCTCTCCAGTGCGCTAGCATCCCTCCACCGACGGCATTTTGAGGTCGGCTTGTGGCAACTTTGAAGCATAACGTATCCACAGCGCAGCCAGGCAAGCCCAACAGAACTTGGAAGCTGCCTGAAAGCTTTGAAAGTCTACGTGGGGAACTTGGTCTTGCACTCAGCGAACTCGGCGATTTTCCTTTTTTTCGTGCAGCATTTCAGTTTTGGAATGTCATAGACTGCAGGCCTCCAGCCCGCAGGTAGGACGCGAGTCACACCCGCTTGCGTGCAGCGAAGTTGCTGTCCAATGTTCCCAGGAGATGAAGTTCCAGCGCATCAACAAAGACAACAGGGCTTTTTGCTCTCGCGTGTCTTCCTTGCAGGCAGAACAGATCGAAGCAGTTTTAGTAGACTCGGACAGTTATCACCTCTCTTCTCTGGCAGGGTGCAGTGGAGGTTCTGCAGGCCTGCGGTTTCAGAGATCAGGGCGACTGCTGGGCAACGGGCTTAGTGCTGAGGCGTGCAACTGCGAACACTTCGAAGCTTCTCTGCTGGACCGAGGTTGTCGACCCTGTCTACATGAAGCAGAAAGGGTCAGCGCTATTCGATGCTCTTGCAAAGATTGAGGCCATACTGTCGCATGACAAGCACAAGCACTCACGACAGGAGCGGTGTGTGCCGAGTATGGCCAGGTGCTTCTTCATCATGTCGAAGCGCAGTCAGCCAAGTCATAAACCTAGTTATCCGTGTTTCACTAGGGCCGCCTTGCCGAAATGTGGCATGGTGGCCTTCTAGCTCCAAGCAGAGGTGCATGCAGCAAAAAGCAGCTTGATTTTTTTCTGCATCCGCTCCTTACCTTGATCTGCTCCGCCGCATGGCGCGGCCGAGGCTCAAGCACGACACGCGACATGTCAGAAGAGGAGGGAGGAGGAAGCCTCGGCAGCCTTGAGGAGGTCTTGGACTGGAAGGAGCGGGGCAATGCCAGGCTAAAGGCTGCCGACAACGACGGTGCCCTCGAGTGCTACTCACGTGGCATTGATATCGGTGTGAAAGCCATCTCGAGCTTTCAAGGTCTTGCCCAGGATTTTAACCCTTTGAAGAAAGCAGTGAGCCAACTTTTATCAAACAGGGGCCACGTCCACTTGGCCCAGCAATTGCCCAAATTGGCGCTTCAAGACTGCCGCCGCGCTGTTGAGGTGGACTTTGAAAATCCAAAGGCATACTGGCGTGGCATCACTGCAGCGCTGCAGCTCGAAGAAGAGCAAGAGAGGCGCGACGCGGCCGAATTGCTTCGGCAAGGACTGCGCCTAGCTTGGGGTACGGGAGGTTCTGCACTGTCAAAGCTCCTGGGTGAGAATCTCCACTTGTGGCGGGAGTGGGCAGATGCTGGACACGTGCCCTCGATGTACCTTCTCGCCCTGGCTCTACTCAAGGGGAACCAGATTAAGCAAGACAAAGCCAAGGCCTTAGACTTATTCCAACAGGCAGCCAGCAAAGGCGATAGCGCATCTGCCGCGATGGTAGAGCACCTGCAGGCAGAGGTCTGTCTACCTCCAGAGCTAGAGGTTTGGGCGAGGGCTGCTGCGGCAGGAGATGCTGCTGCCCAATTCAATCTGGGCTTAGCCTATTATCGTGGCGACAGGGTTCCACAGAATCTCGCGAAGTGCGCTGAACTGTGGGCCCAGGCGGCTGAGCAAGGCGACGAAATGGCCCAGGCGAATCTGGATCAGCTGCAGCGGCTGATGTCGGAGCAAGGTGAGCAAAAAGCTTGAGGAATGCGAGACTCTGCGGGTGTTGCACAGGTGTTCTTGATGCAATTTCGCATCCCCCCGCCATGCCATGCTTGCATGAGGAGCTACATATACACTCTCGTCAATGTCTCTGAGTGGGAGAACGTGCTGAAGGCTTCTCACGGCCGAAGTCTTGCCCAAAGTGTTGTGCAGACTGCGCTGGAAGGCCTGCGAGAAGCATGCGGCTTTGGAGGCCAACCAACATTCTGAACATTCGGCACAGTCTGACACCGCCGACTTGAATCGTGTTTATTTAGAGTTTAGAGCGAGCCGAAGCACAGCAGAACGAATCAATCACAAACAAAGATGCTTTGTTTGGCCAAGCCCGCAAAGCCAGTTCTTTTCCCACACTAAAAAAGCACTGCGCACGCCGGACAGCACCGCCCATGTCGTTGAAGAACAACCTTAACTTAAAGCTACTTGCACAAGAAACCTAATGATATCGCCCTCCAGCCTCGAGTCCAAACCCGCCAGGACTTCACCCTTGAGCATGCCTATGCTCTGTGCCCTCAGCATGTCCTGTTGGGCACACAGATTCTCCAGCTTGACCTCCTCCAGGTATCGCCTGAACCGGTTCCAGCAGGCTTTGCAGGTCTTGGACTCCAGGCACCATGCTCTGCGATGCTCTGCGCTGCGTTCCAACCTTTGATCCCATGTGCCCCAGCTGGACAGGAAAGCAACAGACAAGGACGCCGCTGCAAGCAGGCTGCGTTTGCAAGCGCAGGCGGAATGGTCTTGTGAGCATCAAGGAAGGCTAGGAGGAAGGTCTGCTCTTGCCAGATACAGTACCGACTGTCAGACTACGGCGCCTGTCCTCGTCTCAACGCAAATGAGGCCCAGCTATGTAACACTGTCCTCAGCCATGAGGCGCCGACGTTTACGAGAAGCTTCACCAGGAGGATGCTGAGGCCGAACTGACGCAAGGCCCCAAAGTTAGGGACGAGCAGCTGAGCCGCTGATGTTTCAGGACCACGGCCTGATTGTGAATGCGGTGGCCTCCTACGTGTCGGGGGATAAACCGCGGCAGGCACTTTCACCTTCGTGCCAGTGCTTTCTGCTTGGCAGCCCTGGCTGGAGTCTGCTCAGGCCATGAACCTGATTGCCAGAAACAAGGCCGGTCGTGGTTTGTCCGTCCTCGGCCAGTTGCCCCCGAACTGTTCAGCCGCAGGAAGCGCTTGAGTCGTCTTACGAGCTGTGCTTCAATGCTGCCTGCGCGCTCATCGATGAGGGTCGGCTGAAAGAGGCCGAGGCGCGCTTGATCTCTGACCGCAATAATGAGCAGGAAAAGCTGCCGTGTCTCCAGGACAAACTGAGTCAGGCCAAAGAGCTCTGCACCGAAGAGCTCATGCAGGCATTCCACTTTCCATGGCCTTTCCGTGCTTGGCCTTTGGTTCCTGGCCTTGCTGTGAGGCTGAGGAGATCGGAGAAGAAGATGCCGCGCTGCTGGAGGCGGCTTTGGGTTTATGCGTGCAGAGACACTCAGCTGGCTTTGAAGGATCATGAGGAGCTTGCAGCAATCCGAGTGCAGCAGGGGCGAAAGGCTCAGAAACCGGAGGAGGTTGCGGAAAGATGTGGAACCGAGAATCTCAGGTGTGTGATGCAGCGTCGGGGCCAGGAAGAGGAGGCCAAAGAAGTGCCTGCTCCTGAACACGTGAAGCATTGGATCGCGTGGGCTGTGTAAGAGTGTCTCCATTTCTAGGTATGACAAAGTTCTGCGACAAAAACCAAATCAAGGCCACGAGGTCTGGTGATGGCAAGATGCACAAGCACACATGAACTCATACCGAGCTGTGTTTCGGTAGGTAGATGTGACGGTGCTCGCCGTTGCTTGCAACAATGTAGTTGCCCTTCGTTCTGCTCCCAGACCGTAGAGCATTGGTGTGGCGGTGGTGGCATGTTTCCCGCTTGAGGTTCTGAGGGCAAGTCCCTTTTCGACAGCTTAAAGCGCATCAATGTGGCTTCGAAGGATCTGTCGGCCGATTTGGAATGCTTTGTTGTGCTTGTGTGGCTGTGCGGGTTTGTCAGGAAGGCTTGGAGCACAAGCAGACTCGCAGACAAACCGTCGAGATTGCATGCAACAAGGTGTTGTTGCTGCTCCAGGCCTGAAGCACAGGAAAGCCCAGCAATCCCGAGTTCTACCTGCTGCACTCGTGCAGGCGCAAAAGATAGACGTTGCCAAGAAGGAGCTTGATAAGCTCTGCCATGACCCCGGCTCGTACATACCCCTTACTGCAAACTAACGTTTCACCTGGCTCATGTAGATTTTTCTGACTGCTACATTCTAGTGCCGGATCTTCGTGAAAACAAGACCCCCCTGAAGGGATTGTTGCCACGAGAAGACCGAGGATGGAACATCAAACGGCCAAAGCAGTACGATGGACTGCAACGCAACGTCATCCAGTCGCGTTCCACTTCCGACTTGCCCTGTTGTGAGTTTTTACACCTGGAAGTATTACGAACCGCCTGATTAAACATAGTATCTGCGGGGACATCCTTCGGAAAGGCTAAACATCTCTGAGTGATGACAGCATACGCTGAACAGAGCAGAGGCTTTCGATCTCCCTTGCGTGTCAACGGACAAGAGCGGCCTTACGAGCACCACTGCACCATGAACGAGACCTCCGCCTCCTTGTGTTAACTAACGCTGGGGCCGGGAAGGCGGGGAGGGGAGGAGGGGGGGTGCAGTTGTGACGTGCGAGTTCTTCGCACATGCACTTTGTTGCACACGACAACTCGGCCGAGAGCTTCGGTGAGAAATGGCAGCACATGAACATGTGTCTTGAAATGATGCTGGCCTGTAGGAAGGAGTCGTGCTTGTATCTTTCAGTGAAGTCTGATTGCAGCAAGGAGGAATCCGTGAATGAAGATGACTTTCAATTGTTTAGCTAAGTCATCGCTCCTGTTCTCAGCGTGAGTAACATTGTTGAGTTAATGGTGGTTGAGCAGATGCAGCGACTAGATAATTTATGAGTACTGCTGGCAGCATGTGGCCGGCCTTTTCAATCGTCCGAGCGTACAAAGAATGAAGGGTGCACATGGGGTGAGTCCTCCGAGGTGAAAGCTACCCTGACCACCCCCGGGTAGCTCTGGTACAAGCACGGACCTCAGTTCGCGTGTTGCAAAGCCCCTTGCTGTGCTTGCATCGATGGTGATGCCAGGCTGCGATTGCTCACAGAGAGAAGAAGGGCAAAGTTTGCTGGATCCTGTGAAGTTGGCAGGTGCAGCCAGGACTTGAAAGCTAAGTTTGTGCGTATGCCAAGGCGAGGAGATCCTGCAAGGCTACATTGCATCACATGCAGATGACCAGGAGGCCAGATTGCCATGACAAGATTCGGCTTATGCTTCCATCATGCTTAGGCTTTGTAGACCGTGGACATGCATGATTAAACTCTCTTGGGTTGCTACTTTCTGCAGACTTCCATTGTGTTATCGCCACTCCTAGAAAATGCCTTGCCGAGGGGGCTGTGCAAGGGGCAAGGTTGTGGCAACAAACATCCTTACCGTCCCTGTCCCGCCTGATGCCTTCCCGACCCCTCCAAAATCTTAGATTTAGTCAATCAAAAGAAAGAGGCGAAAGCAACTTATCTAAACCCCCATCCTTAGCAGCCTTAGCAGAAAGAGGAAGAGAAAGAAAGAAGAGAGAGAGAGAGAGAGAGAGTGGCCGTGCTGTGTCGTGTTGCGGGATCGGGGCCAGTGAGGATCAGAAACAATACCGCATGGAATCTGAAAGGCATTTTCCAGTTACTCTGTCCCTCCGTGAGATCCGACTTTGCATCTTCTGGGCTTGGGGTTTAGGGGTTCTGGTTTTAGGGGTTTAGGTTAATCGTTTCTCGGTTGCCACCTTCTGGTCTTAGGGGTTTAGGGGTTGTGGGTTTAGGGGTTTTGTATTCCGGTTTAGGGTTTCTGGGCTTAGGGGTCTTGGTTTCTGGGTTTAGTTTTTCTGGCTTAGGGATGGAGGGGTTCTCGGTTTAGGGTCAAGGGTTTCTGGGTTTAAGATTTTCGGGTTGCGGGCGGCTGAGCTTAGGGGCTTTGGGGTTCTGGGTTGGGGACCTTAGGGTTACGGGTTTCTGGGTTGAGGGTTTCTGCGCTTAGGCGTTTAGGGTTTCTGGGTTCAGGGGTAGGGTTTCTAGGTTCAGGGGTTTAGCGTTAACGGGTCTGGGTGCAAGGTTTATACGGGTTTAGGGTTTAGGGTTGTGGGGTTTAGGGAGCCACGCTTCGTGAAAGGTGAGGTGAGAGAGAGAGAGAGAGAGAGGCACGGACTCGTTGTCGCCCTTGTCCTCTTGCATGGTAGAAACAAGTGCGAGTCACATCATGTCTTTACCAGTGGGCTTGTATGGCATTAATTTTTTCAGCAAACCCGGTTTGTACTGTCCGGGGGAACCAGAACCTTCCCCACGACCCCAAAGCCTCATTCCACCAACAAGGAAGTACGGAAGGAATGGGCGGGCCTAGGCCTAGGCCCGGGTCTGCTCGTAGACCCGACACCACCGAAAAGAAGGAGGAGAGAGAGAGGGAGAGAGTGAGAGAAAGACTTGTTCCTCTCACACCTCGAGATCGAGCAAAGCAGCAGGAACACTACACAAGCACAGGGGGAACAACCCCCAAAGAGACAGAAGTGCGAAACAGACCATGCGGACCCAGCCACCCTCGCACTCCAACGACTACTCACAAAAGCCCAGCGAAGGTTGGCCTCTGCCGAGGAATCGCACCTCTACAGACACATATTATGATATCCAGCATGACGTGGACATTGTTATCGCCTGGCTGAACAACATTGTAGCAGTGTAGCACATGTTTGGGGGAGTTCCTCGTCCTCTTCTTCAGCCATGCCTCATGGAGATACAGTCGGACGAGCTGTCCGAGATCTGGGCTCAGCGCTGCAAGGAATCCAGACAGCGGACCGCCCTGAACACTGGGTCAAGCTCGCGGAGACCGTCATGTTCCTTGAAGCAATTCACAAGGGGGAAAGCGTAGCACACCCTGCAGACGTTGTTGCTGGGACGCTGACCTCCAACCTGGTCCGTGAAAGGCGAGAGAGCAGAACGCAGGGGATCTTGCTGGAACTGCAAGACCTCCGAACCCACCTTGCTGGCTGGTCGCCGGGGGAGCTCAACACGATCCATGAAGCCCTCCTACGAGCCCTTGAAGAGGTGGAAGAGTTAATCCCTCCGTCTGGGGGGACAGCACCGATGCCCATCCTGGACGAGACCTCTACGGGCAGCACAGAAAGACAACAAATCTGATGACCAGGGGATTCAGCCTGCAACACCACCGGAAGTACAATAAGGCGGTCACCCTCTATAAGCTCAGTGGGAATGGTGGCTCCACGATCGTCACCATGGCTTAGGGAATGCACCGTGGGGTCAACCCCGTAGCCCCACTGTTGCGATCGACAGCGAGGAGGAGAGCATGGTCAGCCACCGCCGGACGACGCATGCATGCGGCCATGCATGACGACTGAGCTCGCACAACGTCTTCTCCTGAGACAGCCGGTGAGCGGGGAGCCAGAACCTAGGGGGAAACCTCTCTTAACACACCATTTACCTTCCCGGTACTTCACCCCATGCCCACATGGTATTTCAGTAATGGTACCCCAATCTTGACAAGTCCATCTAACCAGGGGGGAATCTCAGTCCAACCAACAATCCTCCAGAGCCAGACAAAGATGCCTTTCACACATGTTACTCCTTTAGGTGTTTAGTATCGCTGTGCACTTGTTTTACTTCACACGAAGCTGGCTCCGGGGGAACATGTCCGCTAGTGCAGCCTCTCCGAACAAAGCCACCCCCAGCCACATCCGACGTGCCCTCTACACATGTTAACCTCTAGGTGGTTCATTACTGCTGTGTCCTTGTTTCCGCAAGATGGCTGGGGGACAAGCATGGCTGCACCGCGCGGGGGAGGACAATACAGAAACGTTGCTAGGAAAGTGTAGCTGCTCCAACCAACGAACCGCCCAGTCAACTGCCTATTGCTCCGTACGCATGTTACTCCTGTAGGTGTGATATCGTCGCTGTGCCATTGTTTCTACAAGTGAACAGTTGTCGTACTGGGGGAATGCACCTCATCTGGACACCATCCCTAACTTACAGCTCCAGGACTCGCCTGCATGATCGGGCTTATCCTTGCTTTCGGCAAACGGGGGATAGATGTCCACATGACCTCGTAGTCGAGCCTGGAGCAAATCCATTTGTGGTGCCTCACTTGGGGGCTCTACTCTGTTAGCTTTATCTCTTGAAATGAGCCACTCTTGGATTTCGCAATCAGCCGTTGACCCGCAGCTGGCATACAAGGGGGAATTGTATCTCCTTCAGTCGTTTTGTCAACAGCTTGTCGGGGCCTCAGAGTGTATGCACCCCTTGCAAGCCAGCTCACATGTCGCTGACAAATACGGGGGAGACATCCTCCATGATGGAAGTCAAGATGACTTCAAACATCTGTGTCAACCTCTACTGTTCCCTATAGGTCCTACGGTACTGTTTGCAGTCCATATTTCCTTTGGAAAACTTTTACACACGGGGGAACATGAAGTGTACACAGTTGCATGTTTTCTGTGAGAGTATACAGTCACCAATCAAGTCATCGTATCCTTTACGGCTTTAGCCTCGTGGTGACGTATACTCGTTACTCACTCCCTTGCTCCCAACAATATCTTGGGTGGGCACTATGCCCGGGGGATTTGACAGTCCCCCATACCCAGGAGAGAGAGAGAGAGAGAGAAAGACTTGCCTTCCTTTGGCTGTGCAGAAGAAGAGAGAAAGAGCATAAACTTGCTGGGTATCGGGGCTCACACTGCAGTTTCACACCGTCCTCCGGGCGTGAACACTGGCGTAACGCGCCAGCGCAGGGGAACGCGAGCCACATCCCGGACCCCAAACGCCCTGCAAGCAAGCAAGCAAGCAAGCAAGAGAGAGAGCGAAAGATATCATTTTCCGGGCTGTTTTCTCACGCCCTTCCCACAAGGCCCCCCGACAGGGGCGCACTTTTCGGTGCAGAGGGCTTCAGACGCCCTCTGGACCCCGTGAGTGAAGTGAAGTAAAGAGAGAGTGAGAGAGAAACATAAAGAGCCGTTATCGGGAAAGAGTGTGGCAACCGCACGTGGTGTCTTCAATTGCGGCGTTACGATCTGACTATCGGAGGTCGTCTTGCCTTTGGCGCAGCTTTATACCCAGCAGCAGAAGCACGACTTGGCTGTTGAGGCCAAAACTGTACAGTGCGAGTCGTGCTCATGATGTTTGTGCTCTCGAAGGTTCTTGCGAAATTGCCTGTCAGCAGTGGGTTCCTGAGCCAATGCTGTTTGGGATACAGGGAGTGACAGACGGCCTGTCCGAGGTCGCACCCAACCAGCCACAGTTGAGGCCATTGTGAACCTCCACCAGAGGCCGCCTTCGGTGACCGTCACAGTGTGTAAGTTGGAAAAATCATGCTGGTGTCTGGCAAGGCAAAAGAGTCCTGACAAGGCCGTCGCCTGCCTCAGGGAGGCGCGCCTCCTGCAGTCCAGCTCCGAATGACATTGTTTATTGCCGGCACCTCTCCCCAGTTGCACTGTGTATGGTAAGCATGCACCAGTGCCTGCTCCAGGCCATCAAGTACTGGTCTTCACAGGAAGAGGAGTCAGAAACTTTGGCTCAGGCACGCCGCTGGTTTGGTCTTGAACATGCCTTGCTGCAGTGCACACCTTCACAGTACCGTCTCTTTCTGCCTCTCAGGGGGTGGTCCAAAAGACTACATGATACGATGGTACGATGTACACGAACGGGAAGCGATAATTTCATGCAATGCCAAGAACATGCAGTTGTCGGGGCGCAAGCTCATCCGCAATAAGAAATTATTGGGTCTTTTTTCAAAGCATCCGTTTGTCACCAATGTGGTCACTCCCTGCGGGTTGCTCTGGACCGGTGTGCCGCATTTGGGCAGTCTATACCATTCTATGCCTGAGCTTGGCTGGGTGATGTGCGAGTATCTATTGCCCTGTCTGCTACTCACTTCGACTGCTGTGTCGGAGCGGTGGGAAAATAAAAAAACAACGTCTTTCGTCGGCTTGCCGTGATTTCATGCGCTGCAAAGCCTCGCTGTCAAGCACTGACCCTGTGAGGTCGTTCGAATAGCTGCAAGGCTGGCTATGCAGCTGAAGGACAGAGCGTTCGCAGCCGAGGCAACGGACCCCGTAAGCCGGGGCTCTTATTCTTTGCATGCTCGCGCTGCCACTTGCTGTCCGTCTGCCATTTTGGCCCGTGAGGCAGCGCTGTAAGACACTTGCAGTAGCCAGCAGGATCCAGCACAGCAGCCGTCGATTCCAATCGCTCTATTCTTCTTTCCCTCACGGATGTCGTCTCTTTCGCTCCTGTCGGGCCAACCGCGCCTGCCTGAGCTTCCACCACATGGAAATCAGGTTCTATGATGCAGGACCCCCAACCCAAAACCACCTTGGCAGATTTGGTCACCGCTGCTCTTGCGCGACCCTGTGTGACAGAAGATGACGTGCATCTTGCTTCGTCTCTTGACAGTGAACCGGAGCGGGTGTGTCCTGAAAGCCGGGTTCACCAAGACAGAGAGGCGACACTCGCTTGCAAGCAGGTTGGCTGACGTAGGAGTGACATGCTCCGATGATGGAGGTTTGGCACCACAATCGCTGCGAAGTGCTGAACTGAGGGCGGACAAGCGGGCCAGCGACTCTGCGAGATCGCCGGCCAGGTGCCGCGGTGTGCGGCACCCTTGGCAGAAACCAGCCAGTGCAAGACCCATCCGTCCTCCTCCACACTTAACCCTCGCAGAGGCGAGTTCGGTTGGTCTCGTGCAATCCAGAACAGCCAAGATACCGAGCGCCTCTGTGCTTGAGTCGTCAGCTGTCAGACAGAAGAGGCTTTGTCGTAGAGGACCCTCTACTCCCCATCGCCGCGACAGAGAGGAGGCATGTTCACCAGCCTTGCACGAAGCTAAACACCAGAGGCAGGAAGGAGAAAGCGCTGCAGATGGGTTTCCCAGACACAGAAAGCCCTTCCAGAGTGGGCCTGTGAAGCCAGCGACGCCTGAGCCACGAATGCCACGAAGCAAGAAGCTGCAAGTGGAGAGTGCCACGATCTCGGAGGGTTTTGCTGCAGGCCAGAGGTGGAGTCCAGTGTGTACCGGACACTCAGGATTACGCCCAAGCCACAGAATCCTGGATGGCGAGGCGACGGGCTGTCTTTTCGTGTGTCACGCCCCATCGGCGTCATCCTGAGGATACCGTCTGACGATACCTTGCAAGAGCGACGACAGCAAAGAAATCGAATTGCTTCGCAGCTAGTTTTAGCCCACCAGCTTCAAATCATTTGTGTTACCAGACCGGAACAGCGAGGTTGTAGCCAACCGCATCACTTCTCGCGAGTGGGGGACCTAGAACGGTCTTGCGGACGCTGTTTCAACGTTGCCGCATGCAAGGACCGTTCGGGCAGCCTTCAAAGGCAAAAGCTTGCTCGAAGAGAGGCCCAGTAGAGCCGCCGTGAATGCCGTAGGTGCAGTCTGTCCACCTCGGTTCGATGCAGGTGGATTGGCAATCTGGATGATTCTGCCGCAGACACCGCGCATATCTCAGTTCTCCTGCGGATGCTTCGGTTTGTGGGCAGTTTCTGCAGTATTCTCCTGCTGCAGAACATGTCGGGGTTGTTTTGCCCAATCCGTCCTCTGTCAGCAACAGGAAGCGCAAGCATTCCGGGTGCTGTAGTTGATGGGGCCCCAGGAATCCCCAGGATCGTGCCTGACCGACGTCGCACCAGTAAGCTCGCAAAGAGAGAGGCGATCTTATTAGCATGCAGATGCCAGGAAGAACTCTCATCGTGAGTTCGGCTTTCGAGCTCTAAAGACTCTAAAGCTGGGCTCGGGCGCTGGCAAGTGCACATGGCAGTTCGTGCAAAGCCAGCTTGCCCAGCCTGTGCCCCAAAGTATCGCAGGCCTTGATACACACGTTGACACAGAGTTTGCTGGCCCAGCAAAGCCCAGGAAATCATCGCCCTTTGCACACCGGTCAGCCCTAAGCCCCAAAGTGTTGCCCTATGCGGGCCACTCTCCTTGGCAGGTGTATGTCCTGGAAACAGGCAGAGCACCAGCGACGTTAACCAAAAGTTCCTGCAGCAGCACAACAGCAAGAGTAGCTCCAGATAGCTACAGCTTAGAACAGCTGCGAGGAGGCCCTGTACCGCCAGCCACAACGCGGAAAAATGGGTGACGATGACAGGCCGTTATCACGCGACCAACTGCATTGGTCAGCTCTTGGATTCACCTGGTGCTTACTTGCGAAGATTGTTCTGCACCAGTGAACCTGCTTTGAGTTTCCCTGGGCAAGAACAGGGGGCTTGTGTGTTGCTGGTATAATAAGGCTTGCAGTGTATGTCTCCTGTCAGTCGTCTTCATAAGCATGCCATCATACCTGTGAATGCTTTTCTTTATAACGCTACGCCGCCCGCCTCGGCTTGACAGTGGCGGCATTAAGTGCCTTCGAGCCTGCAGGACGTTTACGGGGGCCGCGCAGTCGTAGGAGCAGTATGTGAGAAGAAGAAGACGAAGAAGAAGAAGAAGCAGAAGCAGAAGCAGGAGCAAAAGTAGAAGCAGGCGTAGCAGTAAGCGGAGTAGTGGCAGTAGTAGCAGCAATAGTCGTAGCAGCGGCAGCAGCAGCAGTGCTAGTAGCAGGAGGCAGGGGAAGGGGGAGGGGCAAGGGAAATCTGTGGGAGGGGGGGGGGGGAGCCGGCGGGGGGCACAACGGTAGAGGGTATTTAGTTAAACCGCCAAGACGCCGGAGGCCTGTGGCCTCGTTCCCGCATAGTTGTTCGTGCCGCTCAGTTTTCATGCGCTGTGCCTTGCAGCATGTGGCAGAGCACCAAGGAGCTAAGCGTGCCTTCTGTTGGCACCTTACGGCTGAGGCTCTCGCTCACCCACCATGCCAAACACAGCTGCGGCCAAGGTCATTGCTTGGCTCCGCCGAACTGACCTCTATGCAAACACCGCGTCTTGGCCGAACAGACGCAGTCTCAAACAAAGGATGCCGACTGTAAGCTTGAAGTGGAACAGATCCGTGTTGGGATGGCAGGCTCTGACGCATGTGGAGGCCATGAGCACTGCCTTTTTCTTGACTGGTCGCGGTATGCCACATTGCTGGCAGGTCCTGAACTTCGTGCAGCAAATCCTGGCCGGCCGTGAGGCGCATGTCGTTGACAGTTGGGGAAAACCAGCCGCACTTTCGCCTGAAGGTGAATGCAGTTTGCAACGTTGCGGGCCGACGGGGCAGAACGGTGAGCGCGATACAATTTCAGGCGCATCTTCCAGAGAGTTGGAAAGGGTGGGAGTGTGTACAAGTGGACTGTCCGTGCCAGACGAGAGGGGATGTACAGGTCGATGTAGGCCCCGGGACTTGTGCGTAAGGCAGAACACTTCAGAACATAACGGGCACAAGAGGTTGCCAGCCACCCTAAACATCAAGTCATGATGGCAGTCGCAGGCTTTCTGGCGGTGTGGGATCAAAGCTGTAACATGGGCGTAGTATATGCCCAGTCAAAGTACGTACCAGTAGCAAGTGCAAGACAGCCATGTCCATGAAGCACCGTACGGTGGCACAAGGCGGGGTGCAACAAACCACCAGGGCCAGCACAGAGCTTTGGCTCGAACCACAGCAAGAGCCAGCTTGAACCAGCGAATGCGTTCACTAAGAGATGCCCCGCAGCAGGCCCAACACTCCAGTGAAAAAATCATGCATGGGCAATGCACCGCTGTTACACGTTCCCTCCAGAAGTCGTAAGATTGATGGAAGAAAACAAAAACAACATGCGGTTGAGTGCTCTTGCGTTTTCTTCCATGAGACCTACTCGCCCGAAGATCAGGTAGTAGCGGTATCTTGCAGCCATTGTCTATGGGACAACCACAAAAGTAGCACTAGTGAGAGAAACTACGATGACAGACTTGCGCTATGTCCTTCAGCTAGCTTTCTGTGCTCAGGCCATCATCCACTGGATTGCCAAACATAAGGCGAAGTTCCCAGGGGAGGTCCGTACGATATTTGCGCTCTTCCTGGGATGGGACTATGAGCTGCATGACCATGTCTCGAGTTCTGAGCCCCATGTGTCTCCACTGCACTTCCTCCGAGGGCATCAGCTATTCAGAGTGCATCACGAAGCTCGTTCATCATCCCAACGAGAGGCCAATCAGTAGCTTTCGTTCATTTGCAATGTCTGTTTGCACCAACCTGAGCGCAGGACCAGATTAGAGCACTACTTTGAAGAGTTTGCTCATGCCAGCTCATATGGTGGCGAGCTTGGGTTCGCCTCAACAGAAAGGCACGACCTCCTTGTATGTGCTATGGCATTGCTACGGCTACCGAGGCTTCATGACTGTTTACGAATTCACTCGCTTTTGCCGGGCCTTCGGGCTCTTCCAGCTGCGACCGGGCAGGCTTCGGGGAGGGCATCTGCCGAAGGCCCAACCAACGTTTGCTTCTTGACGTAATGAAAGGTTCGTGGAGGGCGACGTTCAATTTCTTTTTGACCTAGGCGGCCTCTGTCCCGCTCTGCTACCTTCTGCTGTTGCCGCGTGTCGCCACTGCTCCTGCGAGGTGATGAAGGCAAAGCTGTGGACCTCGAGGGCTTTCGGCGAGTTCTGGAAAAGGCAAGGCTGCTGCTCTACCTGGTCAAAACTCTATCCCTCTAGCCTGCAGGTGGCTGACAGGTTGGACTTGCCGGCGCAGGCAGGTTGCTTTTGGTCAGTGCAGCCTGCGTTGCGGACTGTTCTAGGAGCTGCTACATTTCCTTGGAGAGAAGGATGCCGAGCGTGTCTTCCGAGAAGGAGCGAGCAAGCAGGTTGTCATAGAGGTCTACCCCAAGATCACAGAAGCTGGAACCTTCGCAGGAATGGACAGTGCCGGACTTCGCCGAAAGGCTGTTGTGGCTAAGTGACGTGAAAATTGTACATACTTAATATCTGCGCCTGGGACACGTCACTGCAGTTCGCACCACACATAACGGCTCCAAACACACATAACGGCTCCAAAGTGGGCTCCTGCTGTGCATCGTTGGCATGGGGCCAGACTGGAGCAAACGTGCTCGTCATGGCCTGTCTCAGCGGGATCACAATAAGTGAACCGAATCATGCAAAAGCTATACAGACCAACACCTGCGCAGGGTGAGGCGAGAAGGAGCGAGCGAACGAAGCATGGTAATGCAATAGGGGGCGGGGCGAGCTCTGGCACGGAAGGTGTACCAGAGCTATCTTGAGAACATCGACGGATCTGACTACGAAGCGCTTTGCGGTCTCGTGCAGGCAAGTGCGGCTCCGAATGCTCTTGCGAAAGAACCCTTGCGGCTGCTCTGAGGCCCTCGCTGTGACGGATCCTGAACGGGCCACCGAGTGCGCACCGGGTCGGGGGATTCGGGGGTTGGCAAAGCTGCTTGGTCACGGCATCCTTGGCGGCTGAAACCCGCAGTGTTGCTAGCAGGTATGCCGAACGGTTGCAGGTGCCGGCTTTTGATCACCTGGATCCTGAGGACCCTTGAAGTACAACGTTCAGCAGAGGACGATTCTTCTTCGCTCAGGCTGTTAGAAGATACTGCTTGAGGAGCTGGAAGCACAACCCATACCTAAGGTTGGTGCGATGCCGCGGGCTGATCTTCGATTGCTTACTAAACAGCTCAGTATGACTCGTGTCATGTGAGACACCACATGTGGCACGACTTGTGCCTGGAGTGGTCATCGGTGTTCCACCCTTTGCCGAAGCTCCAAGTGCCAATCAGAAACCGTATCGCCACCAGAGCATACCGCACCTTCCTGCGACCAAGGAAGTCCACAAATCTTGCGAAACGCAATCTGATCTGAGACCTAGCGAGCTTTGCAATGTTCGAACGCAGGCGCCGAAGTATTCACAAGCCTGATCAGCCTTAATGGCCGGATATGCACGCGGAAGAGAAGAGTCAGCCTGGAAGTGAAGAGACCCAGGGATATGGAAAAGAGGCAAACGACTTGCAAGAAAGGTACTCGATGAGCGACTCAAGTCGCCTGCACGGATACCGACGTATGCAGTACATATGCTATGAGAACTTTTCAGCTTTTAAGCGGTCCGGTGGTTAAATTTGTATTTCCGCCTTTAACCGCGAAATGACAATACATGGCGACGGTTGTAATTAAACTGACTTGAATTTGACGTCAATTGGAACTTAATTGGTTTAATCAAATGTACTTCAGTTTAATTAATGTACGCGTGCGCCCCACGCAACACATGTCGAAATATGTCGCACTTCTGTCAATTGGACCTTAATGGGCTTTAGTTACACTTATAACTGAATTTAATTGAATCTAAGCAAGTGCCCTACGCAACACATGCCGACATATGCGCGCATGTCAATTGGAACTTAATTGGTTTTTATTCAGTTTAATTGAACTTCATTGAATTTAAGCTCGCGCCCTGCGCAGCGTGCGCAGGGGCCGTCCACCTCTCTCTCTCTCTCTTGCTTGCTTGCTGGGCGTCTGTGCTTGGGGGCACAAGGACCCCTGACCCTGCGCGCATGCGCTACGCAATTGTCCGAATCAGCCGTCGGCGCGAAACGACGTAACGGAAAATGGTGGGAGCTCAGTACCGCTTTACGTGGGGACGATCCCCGTAGTCCCAACATTTCAGACTTCCCAAGCCCCCACAGCGATACTGAGCCTCGTGTGCTGGTCTTCGCTCCAGCAGGAGTTGGGAACAAAGCTCAAAGGCTAGGAAGGTGGAATGCTGCCCGTCTCTGTACGCATTGGCAGCTGCAGAAGCTCGCATCACGTCGGAAAAAGACGACGTTATTCTACGAACCTCAGTCACGCAAGGACATGAAAAAAATTGAGAGGGCCGTCTCACAACGAAGCCCCACTCAATGAACGAACGGAAACAAGGAGTGATGGGGGGCACTTACAGCAGCCCCACGTCTTGAAAGGGGGGTCGTCTCACAACGAGTCCCTGGGTGAGGATCTTTACAACCCCCGATTGAAACGGACGGATTCGAAGGAACGAAAGCGGTCACCAGAGGCATCCAGGAATGCAGAGTGTTGGCTGTGCGAAACAGAACCTGCTGACACAACGGCTGTTTTGCACTCGGGCGCTGATTTGGAAGGAAAACATCCGTCCTGCTCACGTGTTCTTCCGCTTGACCTTCGCCTCTTGGTTCAGTACTAGTACCAACCTGGCACCGTCCCCCACTTTCTTGCCAGCCGGTTACCCGGCTGGTTGGCACACAGGTGTGGTCGCGGCTCCAGCTCCATGCGTCTGAGAGGCAGGTTTTGGTTCCCCGCAAACCGCGATATCTCGGATGGCAACCTCGAGGGGCTTGAAGAAGTGTGGCGTCTTTTTGTCATTTTTGCTCTTCCTCTCCTTTTTCCTCCTTTTCTTCTTCTCGGTGTGCGGCCCCGGATCGACCGGCTGCACGCCTTCGCGTGGTCCGTAAGCTTGGGCTCGAGGGCGTGCTTCTGGATGATCGCGCTGTGGAGGTGAGGACCCGCTTAACAGTTGTCTGGGTTCCCGTCGGGGGGTTTGTTGTCAAAGGTCTCGGCTGTGTACCCCCGGTAGTAAAGCTCACGGAAGTGTTTCCGGCTGATCGTGGTGCAAGCGGCCAAGAGGGCTCATGTCCTCGCGTCGCTGTCTTGGTACGGGTTGGGGCGGCGTCCTTGATGAGGGAGGGTGATCTCGTTGTAGACTCGGATCTGAGGTCAGTGATCACCATGACGACGTGTCCCTTCCTGTCTCGCTTCCTCAGGTGGGCGAGGGCTTCACTTCCGTTCATGTCTGCACAGCCATAAATGATGCACTGCGCATCATCTCATTGGTGTCCCCCGTGGAAGCTCGGCCCCCTTTAACACCAAACGCACACTTTCCTTTGCGGGGAGCTCCTTTCCGGTCATTGGCGTGGTAGTCCTGGGTGCATGGATCACGTGCTGGCTCGTCCTCGCCGTCCTCCTTGGAAAAGACCTCCGAAGAGGGAGTTCCGTGGAGGGTCCAAAGAAGGAGTTGCGTAGACGGTCCACGGAATGCTGCGAGGCGCCCTAACCTTTCAGGGGCAACCTGAGCTTGTAACGGTGTCGGATATGTAGCCTCAAGCCCCGCTCGCATTGGGAGAGGCCACTGGCCTCCGCCCGAAGGGCCGGTGCGGACCGCACCCCCGGAGAGGAGGACGCCGCGAACGATTAGAGCTTCTCTCTTTGCTTTACTTTGCTTGGAGGCAGAGCCAGGAGCCAGGAGCAGTCCTCTTGACTCGTGCGCAAGGCGCATCCCGTCCACCCTGGTTGGCTCGTCTGTACGGGTGGTCACACTCTGACTCTGTCTCTCAGTCTCTCTATCTCTATCGCTGTCTCTCTCACTTCACTTCACTTCACTTCACTTCACTTCACTTCACTTCACTTCACTTCACTTCACTTCACTTCACTTCACTTCACTTCACTTCGCTTCGCTTCGCTTCGCTTCGCTTCGCTTCGCTTCGCTTCGCTTCGCTTCGATTCGCTTCGCTTCGCTTCGCTT